CTGCAATTGTTTCAGCCAGTTTTACTGGTGCTTTTATTATCCAACTCGCAACAATTAACATGATTTGTCTTAGTCTCAATCGGGATCGAGCGAAGAAAGTTCTCTTTCGAGCAGACTTCTTCCTCCAAAATAAATAACATCGATAGACAATCTCATCACGGTAGCCTGAACAAGGTACTGCAGCCATTTGATTACCAGTCACAAATAAAGGAACTTCGTAGTAGTCCCATCTGTTGTAGGCGCTCAAAAATCATGTCTTCTCTAAAATCCGCTGTAATTCGATCGTACATGAGCATCAGAGACTGAAATTGGTGCCGTGACCTTAAAAGCCCTCAAAAGCTTCTGATTGGTTCGTCCATAAATTAGAGTCTCGCCATCCCAAAATACTGACTATTGAGTAAAAATTTATAGAATATAATTTTTCGATGATTACAATCCAAATGTATTTTAAAAGGAAATTCACTGAAATATCGTATAATTGATAGGGAGAACCATTTACTGTAACAAAGTGTACAGTAATCAATCTAGCTATTATTATTACTACTATTTATTACTACAGTCTTACATCAATATTTAATTTGTTCAATGACGATCCCAGTTCAAGGGATTATGACAACAACAATGAAATATTCGTCATTTCGAAGGTTGACAGAAATTCCTCACTCCGTTACCATTTTAACATAAACTTTCAGATGTTTCTGATCAAACTCCATCTTGTACTTCATTGAAGTATATTTATTGTTTATCCAGTTGAATAATTTTGAGATGACGTTATTCGCTTATTACACAATAGAAAAGCTTTACAATTAAATCATCCTGGTGCAAAAACGAAACATTATTATGATATGTGTTGTTAATCAATCATAGTTATCATTTTAGCTTAAACAGTTATGTTTTTTATCAGGCAAAGTTTTGAAATAGATGTGAACTTACTTTTTATATTACCGTAGTGATTATTCGAAAGGTTTTGTAGCTTGAACTGATTATTTTATATGGCAATTGTCCAATTTATTGGAAAGGAGTATGTTACAATATTATTAAACATATGTTCATTCATGTTCGCTGAATATTGAGCACGTTTTGTTACATAAACATGAAGTATCTTATTGTCCTATATTCCATAGATCTTTCAAAAAGAAACATTCTTTCTTACAGTTCATTGATATTTATCACGCATCAACGCTTATATTCAGTATTTATCATATTTGTGACACGTATTATTTGAAATTATTCTTAACCTATATGAAGTTATTTCAATAGCTGGGATCATGAGTTAACTGAAGCTAGACCACCATGTAAAACCTAGACTAATCAACCTCATACTAATCAATATATGCTCACTAGGGACTGGCTTCAACAGGTATATCCTGGAGTTCTAGTGAGAAGCCGTGACCAATGGAGTTTAACTGAGTCAGTTGTGAGACTGTAACTCACTGATGACAATGGTGGATATGTCGCTCAACTTTGTGGACTAGTTGAAGTTAGCCATTAACACCATTGGATGCCGGCTCAGTGGTCGAGTAGTTAAGCGCTCGCGCGCGAGACTTGTAGGTCTTGGGTGCGAACCTCGTACTGCTGAGGAATCTCATACTAGGACGAAACGGCCGTCCTGTGCTTCCAGGTTTTCCATGGTGGTCTAGCTTCAATTGACTCATGATCTCAACTATTGAAATAACCCATATAAATTTCAATGCACAGAAAAAGACTCAATGTCGAATAATGCATAGTATTTGACTAACTCTTAGTTGAGCATTACATTTAATTTTTTTAAAGTAATTAATTTAGTTCACATGTCACGTTTCAATTAATTACACTGTTAAATATAATGATTTGATTATGCATATTTTTCAATGAGCATCTATCCATAATACCAAACTAAACTAATTCATAACCTCAGTTTATCATACAATGCTAATAATATTGAACATTTTGAAATAAAAACCGTCCTTTCATCATTGAAGTTTTTTATTTATGTAAAAACTATGTGTAGCATAACTTTATTACGTTTCATTTAGCGGTTTCATTTCAATGTCAACAAAAGTACAAGTTAATCAAAACAGTATACATGTGATGTCTTATAAATTAAGTAAGTTGAATGTGAATGTTGAAAACTTTACTTATTGAAAATTTCATTGAAATCAATTTACTTCGTGGATTCATTGAAGTTAAACATTTACACCGTTAGATGCCGGCTCAGTGGTCAGTGGATTTGAATTCCGCTGTTGCGAGATTTTAGGTGTGCAATTCTGGAGAATCCCACACTAGGATGAAACGACTCATGAATCCAACTATTAATTACTGGTAGTTCAAAATACTAAATAACTAAAATAGCATATTGACTACAAATAATTTACACGGTACATTTAAGTTTAATTTAAGTAGATAATTACGAATTTCAGTCCAGTGGTGAATCGATTTAAGTTTATGTAATTCATACAACTGAATTTCGAGATCACATTTATCACGTTCTTATATCAATTTATGAAGATTTAAAATGCAAAAAATATTGGATACTTGTTTCACTGTGATTTGAAATCAGCACATCAACAATTTACATTAATGACTTTAGTCAGTAATAAAATGTCATATTTAAATCAAAACAATGTTAATCTAATGAACAAAACTTTTAGAGAATTTAGAAAGTAAACGAATGAATTTATTTCAGTCCGATATTTTTCATACTTTATACTTTTGTAGTCTTTCACTATTTATTGGTATGAATGGGATACTGTAAAAGAAAATGATGGTGGATTTTATCAATGTCGAGCTCGTAATACAATTGGATGGAGTTCATGGTCTCCAAAACTACAAGTAATTGTAAACGGTGAGTATATTTTATCCAGCAGAAGTTTATCTTAATTGTTACTAACTCAAATGATAAATAAAAAATTGATTTCATTTATGATGTTCAAATATATTAAAAAAAAATAATAATAACTGTGCATTTTTATGAAATATATTGAAGTGATAAGAAGTCAACACATGTGAAGTGAATTATTGATGTTGGTGTTCCACCTTTTAACCTTAGAAATGAAGAAATATCTATTTTTCTAGTAATCTGGAATGTCATCCAATGGTGTTAATGTCTAACCTCAACCAATCCACGAAATTGCGCGACCATCTTCCATTGTACTTCCATCTGTCTGTACCCGACACGGATTAATCTTTATTGTCAATCCTTATAAACGTCTATGCTTTTCAACAACTCATAAAGTGTGTTTTCTGATATGAAAATAAATCAGTATCAAAACGTTACTAATTAATAACTTTGAATTTAGATTCTTATAAAAAACATTCTATATTTGCAAAATTCTCAGTGAATGAACTTGGTTATTACTTTAATGTTTCTCTTGTTAAGCTAGATCGAGATTATCGATTATAAAAAGGGTTTACAGAAAATTTGTTTATTAAACGACTGTCTATTGCCATTCGTACACTCGATGACCAACTATCGTGAAACGACTACTTCAAATTCTGAGTAATGCTTCTATAAAACATCAGCCTCTGTGACAACTTCTAGCAAGAAGAGTCTCATCGACGTCATTTGCGGCTTTGCAATAATATTGAAAAGCTAAGAATTATTTGATAGATATAATTAAGTCAAGTAAATAAGTATGACCTAAATTAATAACAAAGATGGATGGATATTACAAGTATATTATACTCGTACTGACTTAGGATCAAACTTAGTTTATACACGTAGAGATTAGCCGTTATTCGTAAAAGAAGTTAAATCTCAATAAATCATGATTATGTACAATGGGTTTTTTAAATTTTGAATTTTTATTGTTTTACAGAACTACCTCGATTTCTAAGGAAGCCAAATCCAGTTGAGTTCGTAAAGAGCAATGTGCCGTTAATAATATCATGTGAAGCCTATGGACAACCTAAACCAATAATTCAATGGTTTTATGTAAGTTAACTATGATTTAATTTTTTTGTAAAATCCAGGAAAGATGAAATCTTGAACATTGAACCCATGAAATATTATTTTTATATCACATGAGCATCACATTAATTTGTCAGTAATATTTGTCATGATTATATAAAGACAATTAATGAATAACTTTATGCATTTTGAGTGATCGAAAATATAAATTAGTATAATGTTAACTTTGTTCAAGTCTATGTCACAACTTCTGTTTTACAAAAAGAGAGGAAATAATCAGTATTATCTGATGAAAATAGCAGTAACTGATAAATGATAAAGTTAACCATACTTACTTACTTAATTACTTACTTACTTACTTACTTACGCCTGTTACCCTTCGTGGAGGAGCATAGGCCTCACACCAACACTCGCAATCCAACCCTGTCCTGGGCAGTTCTTTCAAGTTGCCATTCATCCTTTGCATATATGTCTCCATTTCTTGATGTAGTGTGTTCTTCGCCCTCCCTTTTTTCGGTTTCTCTTCAGGATTCCAAATTAGCGCTTGCCTCGTGATGTAGTTTGATGATGTCCTCAATTTATGTTCTATCCACTTCCAACGTCTTTTCTTAATTTCCTCCTCATCTGGAAGCTGGTTTGTCCTCACTCACGATAAGCTGTTGCTGATGGTATCCAGCGAACGGATTTTGAGTATCTTGCGTAGACAACTATTTATAAATACTTAATATCCGTTCATGATACTTAAAGCTAATCATAGTTAAAAGAAATAATTTATCCAAATACAATCCAATAACTGAAAGTATTTGTGAAAATCATGTTAGCGTATCTTCCTGAAACAAGATGGATTGTTAACATCTTATCGTTTGTTCATATTTGCTGTAACCATGATGAAAACTTCATTATTAAACATATTCATCAACTATTCTAAACACAAAAAATAAAATTGATATCGTGCGTATGTAATTTTTTATGTATTGTTATTTACAATATATTCTTCTTTAATATTTGTTATTTCAGGGTAGATTAAATCAACTAAGGAGTAATTCATCAAAATATGTTATGATCACAAGTCTGAACAAGCAGACACAAAATATAGGGACGGAGAATATTGTTGTAGACCAAGAACATGATGATTATGATAGAGAAGATATTACTGAACAAGTTGAAAACGGCATATTCAATACTACTGATCATAGTATCCAGTATCCATTTCAAAAAGACAGAACAATTAATAAAAGATCAATCTTAAATGTCAATTTGCCAGGTGGTGTGAACAAAATGCCAGATGGAAGTCTTCTTATATACACTTGGAATGCGTCAAAAGTAACTGGACAGTATTTTTGTATTGCTAAAAATTCTATTGGTCATATTATAACATCAGTGGAATTAAAACAAGATCTAACAATGCAGCTATACGATAGATTTTTTAATAACATTATGTTACATGTCAAACCCTTAATATACTCTGCAATATTATCTTGGAATAAAATGAAACAACCCACTACATTGCATTCGGATACTACTTTTGATACCATCGGCAAACAATGTTATTATGTAACATATCATTCACCGGTTCGGTCAGGGGATGAATGGATCACAAGTAGGTATTCTATACTATCTGTGTAATTTCCTCCAAGAATGAAACGAATCATTGATAAAATGTTAGTATTTATTTAATGATAATCATGCATAAATCTTAGGTTTAACACAGTATGTTGCGTTTCCTTTTTAATATTCTACTCTGAAACTGGTACATATTCACTATTTTTGAAACATATATAAACATAGTTCATTGTATCTGTTAACTGACATTATGATACATGACTAACTATATGTGAAACAAACTTCAATCTGTGTTTTGATTTGTTTGATGGTTGGGCTACAAGTATCAATCTGATACTTTATACTGTTAAGAAGCGATTGTTGAACACTTCTTTTGATGATAAAATACTATTTAGTAGTCTCTTCATTGTGTAAAACTTACGAGTTAGCGTTGACCCATGTAATAATAATTTTTCTACATGTAGAGATCATTAGTTCACTCGTGATCATCTTTATGTTACAGAAAATACCTTTCTTTATGGGAAAAGAAACGTGAGACCTAAAATTCAGTTATCAAATGATCAATATTATGTACTGAAATTGATGGAAATGATACGATTTATATTCCATCACCCTGTGATGGTTGAAATTTCATGCTTTCCAATCTGGTTTGATATTTTAAACTGTTCTACACAAATTAGAACCATTGATTTATTCCATTTCTGCACTCATTGTCAATATATTGTACAAAACATAAACGTTAATTTATTTGTATATGAGAATTGAGTTAAAAAAACTGAATAGAAACAAGGTTCTAATCATTAGAATCTAAACTAAACATTGCTTTATTACTGTAATCCGTAATTTCTTATTGTAAATGTTTCATAATAATAATATTTTGTTCTATTCTGTGCTATTTTCTCACTTTTAGCTGTTGTACAACCAGAATACACTAGTCGAATACGGTTAAATGGACTTATTCCAGATGAACTATATGCTTTCCGAATAAGTCATTGGTGTACACCATTGAATCAAAATCACTCGAGTAGTTCTACAGTACTAATTAGAACTGGATTACCATTGGATCAAAATGTTGAATTAATTTTAACAAATAACAGTACCCATTATTTACAGTTTGAACACGGTAATAAAATACATTATTTCTGTTTGAAATGTTTCGATTTTTGTTATCATCTTCCTGTAATTGATAATAAAACATACTGAAATAAGTAAATTAATAATGTGAATATTCTAAACAGAAATCATGATTTAACGCTGTAGTTGGTTAGGACATGTGTTACTTATGAATGCTAACAGCCTACTTCGATAGATGATTTTATTTGGTGTAAAATTAAACTGGAAGGAGGTTAGAGGTGCCCAAAACAAAACATGATAACTGTCCATATATTCACTGGAAATTGGATGGAGCTATGTTAACAGGTGTAGACTGTTTGGTTGACGTCTGTGTGATTATCGTAACTAGTGTCTAAAGACTTTGAATGACATGACAGAAAGTCGTTTGGACAGGTTCGAGTGCATTCATTCGTTGTCTACACTGAAAGCTAAGATTCCGAGTTCTTTATAATTTATTTATTTCACTAATTAATATTTTTCTGAGTCGTATTCCTGACGACTTATCTTTTCTGTTATCATTAATACTGTCACTACGTCTACTGCTCTGTGTTTCGCCCTAACAATTTCATCTCGCTGTGTTAAACGGGTTTGAAAACCTGAACTAATGTACATATGCATATACATACTGTAATGAGCATATGCATAAATCCCAACAAAGAAACATTTTTTGATGATGTTAAACAACTGTTAAAACTCATATTTTTGGTAACATTTTTTTCGTATCTTAGATACAGACTCATCTAAACCTCCGTCTCCACAATCATTAAAACTACAAATAACTCAAACTGAACAGTATAATAGCATTCTAACATGGAAAGTTCAAGAGAATCCACAAACTTCATCACTTCATTTAAATGTTCATCAGAAATACAATGAATTGTCGGAGCGAATTTCATATTTTCAGGTAGAATTCATTGTCTGCACAAGTTCCAAAACACATCTATTTGGAATTAGTAATTGTACTGATGGTAAAAATTATATATATCGGTGGAAGTCCTTAGCACCAGTACGTTATCCCAAATTAACTCTTGAATTAAATCATGATAATGAAATGTTTTTATTGGAAAATAACGACAGAAATGAAGATTTAACAGTTGACAGTGATGCATTCAGAACAGTTGTTGAATACAATGAATTAAACTCATTTTTAACTAATTTATACTACAATTCTTTGGTATATGAATTAAGGTTTCGGGTAAAATCTTTCGGTGTAATGTCAATGAGTGAGCCGTCCAACGAGTTAATCATTAAACACCCTTTACTACGTAAGTCGTATTTTTTAGTTTCACTTTTTACATTATAATTAACCAACATGCAGTATGAAACTGATAAATGAGTTTTAATGTCAGTAAATTATTCCTTATGAACACTGAAGATTATACAAATTTCGGTTAGCCCAAGTTCCTACTTTACTTTAATTTGACATCAATAAAGACGTTTCTTGAAAAAAAGCGTTTTACAAATTTGAAGCAATCAGTTGCTTTGATAAGTTTCGGTAGTGTAATAAGATGAAGATTATCACAACGCAATACATTTCGAACAATCTGACCACACATGTACTTGTTAAGAACATTTATGTATAAAAATTCAAATGACCCAATAAGAGTAGAGGATAAACATCCATAATCCTCTATTGCCAAGCACATAGTTGAAACAGGTCATGCGATTGATCTTAAATCCGCTTTTGTGGTGTTGTACAAAAGTGTAAAAGGGCGTATACTAAGATTTATTGAAGTCTTAGTCATACAAAAGCTCAACCCCCCTTTATGTATTCAAAAACAGTTTGTTCTCACCTTAAACCTACCCTGGTTATAATAGTTTATTATCCAGAATGATGATGTTTCAAATGGTTTTATCATTATTTCTTTATTATCCTTGTCTCCTCTTACCCTCGATTTCTAGTCTAGTTGACCTTTTATTTTTATTTATAAGTGTTCTTAACAAATTTACGTGTGATCAGATTGTTCGAAATGTATTGCGTTAATATATCACATAGTTCTGATAATCTTCGTCTTCTTAATGCACAAGTTTATAAACGTTAATTGAGAGCATTATTTACATGTATTGTTTGTTTAACAACTGTTCAAGAATCAAACAAAAAAGATTCTCAATTCTGTGACTAAATGAATATTTCAGAAATGTTAGATAAGTCCTATTTTATATTGTTACAATTTGAATAATTAAATGTTTTTAAGTGCCATCTTCAGACATAATGATAATGAATGCAAATTGGTGTTTATATTAAAGAATAGATCAGACATCAAGTATTTCTATATTTAATTTGAACTATGTCTACTTGTAATGATATTATGTTTTGAAAAATGTCAAAAATTTGGTAAATAATTATGAAATGGTTGAACTCCATCGGTTAAACATTAATACGGTTAGATGTGGGCTCAGTGGTTCAGAGATTAAATGTTCAAGCGCGAGGCTTATAGGTCCTGGTTACACATTTCTCAAGAGTCCCATACTAGGACGAAACGATTGTCCAGTGCTTCCATGTTTTCCATGGTAGTCTAGCTTTAATTGACTCATAAATTCCATACATGAAATTACTAAAATCTTCACAAACCTCCTTTCTGATAATAATTATAAAAAGCTTTAAATATAATTAAATTAGTCCTCTAATAGATGAAAAAATAATAGGCATATACCCATTGAGACAATCTTGTGATCAATCTTTCTCATATTATTACATAACACACATATATGTTTTGTATTGAAATATTTATTCATATAACAGATATTTGATTTATTTTCTTTTCTTTATTATAGCATCAATTTTAAATGCACTAAATCAAACTCTTTATTATGAACGTTATCTTATATATAAAGCAATTCAACAGGTACATTATGAATCTTTATATAATAATCAACAGAATTTGACTAATATAAAATTACATAATATTAAAATGAAAAATTTAAAAAACTTTAACACTTTCAGTAGTCATTACATAATAAATAGACATATCAAAACATATTGGTTTATTTATTGTATAAGTTTTACTTTCTTATTAATCATATTCATTATAATATTTATGTTGTCAAGGCAACCAATAAAAAAAATTATAATTAAATTAAAAAAAAGAAAGAAGAAAAAGAAAAATGAATCAATAAAACAATATCATGAAAAACAGATTCTTGTAACATTACCTAATATTAATCTTTTAAATAATCAATATCAAATTAATAAAACATGTTTAAATGATTCATTTGATTTATGTGATACAAATTTTGTAATTAATGAATTTAAACAAAATTTAGTATCAAATTCAAATGATAAATTAGATAACTACAATACTTATAATTGTTATGATTGTAATAATGACCATATAAATCATTATTTAACTTCACAATATGTAAAACAACATTTATTGAATTCAACAGATATAAATTCAAATCATACAATTAAATGTTCAAAACAAACAGGGGATACAAATTGTGATCAAGTATATTTCATATTATCTAGTTATGAAAATTCAGCTTATTATTCTTCTTCTTCAGATACATCAAAAAATCAAGTAATGGATATGCAAAATAAAAATTTAGAAAATATGTGGAATACTGATGATGTAATAAAAGAGATGAATGATAATTTAACAGGTATGATATTAATTTTTGACAAAATCATTAATCCTAAATATATCATTCTAGAAAATAACAGCTTGAGTTAATAGTTTGTTTTGAAAAAGATTACTTTCGTAATTAATAATGTTACTTATTATCACTATTGTCAGGAGGGATTCAAAAATGTTTCGGTTCTAGATATTAAACCTCAGAGAATGTTTACAGTGAGTTGATTTTCGTAGATCTTGAAATGAGAATCCAACTTATGTTTCTCACTGATAATTATTACTTGATAAATATCTCATAAATGCTTAATGTAAGGTACATCTACAAGCTCATTTTTTATGTTGTAGTATTCTACATATAAGCAGATCTTATGACTGTGACATTGCTTAAGCAATTACAGTAATAGGCTAATATAAATAAAGCCATTATGGTTAATCTGGAGTAATGGAGTACTCGAATAATTGTTTTATCAATTTGTATCTTTTTAATAAAAAAATTGATTTCTGCTGAGTGCATTCAGTATAAGCATAATTATAATTATTAAACAACTTAAGCAATTACGAATGAAACTGCATTCTGTTTTGAAAGACACCAAATTCAACTAGGGGAAATACAAAATATGTTGACGGAAACTATGGCATTTATTCACAATAAGGTTATTCTAGAGTTGATCCAGATGGCTTCGGCTATGTAAAGTAGACGTAATCTAGCTCCTTGAGGTAGATATTTTGGAACTTGATATAAAACAGAGAAAGCTTCCTCTATTTTGATATGATGTTCATTATCTACCAAGTGTGAAAGAATAGCACTGTTAATCGATTTAGTAACTCCTTTTCCCAACCATGCCGGCACATGTTCACGAACACGCAAGAATAAAGCCCTCTGAGTACGGCCTATGTAACTAGCTCCACAGGATCACCGAATACTTAGTCTGAATATTTTAAACCTCTTACCCCCCTTCCTCTAATTTTATTTATTTTCCTTATTATCATTAATTTTGATTATCCCTATCTTAATCTTCACATCTATCATTCCCAATTCGTTGATCGTAGTTACCTTGATAACACCCCCTACCCCCTTATTACATATTATATTCACACCACAATCTTATTATTATTAGTATTATTATTATTATCTCAATTGACAAGATGAAATTCTCTTACTATGCATTCTATTCACACAATTTTGTTTTTACATTTTCGATTTTGTTATAATACTATTCTACTTATTGTGATTGAACACTACTCCAAATAATCTTGACCTTTATTGAATGACCTTTCTCATTTGCAAATAATACCATTTTGAAGTATATATATATATATATATATATATATATATATATATATATATATATATACATATCGTAACAGATGCAAAAGTGCACCAATTTTTTAACACATAACATTGTCAAATTTCATTAATACATGCCTTATTTTTGGCCTTTGTAAAATATCACAATAATTATGGACTTATAACTGTAGAGCCCGATGATGAAGTTAGTGAATACAGTTGTTCGCTCAAATATTCTTCAATTTTGAATATAAAGGATTGTTGACAAAAAGTTCTTAGTCTCTATTGAATATACTTATCCTATTCAAAATACACTTCTAACAATCTCAAACATATTCCAAAACGATTTAAAACTAAATAAAAAATACACCAACGAATTGAGATATTTTCTGACTAAAAATCACTATTTATCTGCCAAATCACCATGTACAATGCTTTGAAACAACTTTCTTAAACTATTAAGATAACCTGATAACTGATACATTCCAATGGGTGTTGAAAACTGTAGCATTTTGTATAGTAGCTCCAAATTGGTCATAAAATTCAAAGAAAAATTTCAAAGATCTTGATAATAAGCACTTCCAATACATATTTCATTTGCTGAATTTCTTTACAGGTTTGTGTATACCAAGAGATCCTAAATAACAACATTTTTAAATGTAATTTTTTGGTTTATTAACAAAGCCGATTTTTATCATTATTCAATTGGAGCTTATTATAATCAGTTGTTTTCTCTTTGTTTCAGAAAAACATTATGCACTGATGACGCCTGAAGTCTCCAGGTAAATTTTATGTAACTGAATATTTATCATATATTTTGAAATAATTTTTTATTAACTAACCAATCAAATGCGAGATGAGATCTGTTTAATTTTTAAGCAAAGTCCATTCGTCTGTATGCCAATAAAGCATCCTTACATTTTGCTGATGCCATTTTCTAATAAAAACCCTGACTTCTATTCCTTACCTTTACTCCTAAGGTTAATTTGTAATACTAATGTTTATTCTAGTTTTGAAACTTATAAGCGGCTGATGTTTTCTAAGGTCACTTTTGGTCACTCAAGGTCGTCCACAAAGCCTATTTCCCCCGACAACGTTATTATTTTTAAAAAGTAAACTGCTGCTTATATTTTAAAAAATACAATGAAACCCAATATGATTTATTACGAAATTTTGTTCATATCTTAAGCCACTACAGAACTAATCAAACGACTACATACGTACCGTTGAGTTCCGACTCAATGTGTCTTTAAAGTATTATGCATCGCATGTATAGTCTGTTGTTAAATGTCTTTGGTTTACTAAGCTTCACAAAATACTGAACATAATTGATCTGCGTTGTTCTATGATGTCTTATTAGACGACGTGTTCGAGTAATTAGGAAAAGACTGTTTAATGCTTATTCCGGTACTTAGACTTAGCAATGTTTACTATGTACAGTGGTTTTCGCATTATATCTCTCGACCTAACGTATCCGATTGCGCTTTAAGTACATCAGCACTAATGTCCTCCATAAATTTAAGGTGGATGATGCGTGACAATCGGTAAAAGACCTTATAGTTACCTGAATACCAGTCTCTTCATGATATGTGAGAAATTTGGAATCCATGTATTGTTTGTAAAAGTTCATTTGGTACGCTTTTTGTGTTATCCTGTTGTTTTTGTTAGTTTTTATGAGCGTAATCGTTTTGTAAGAAACCTAGAGATAATTCTATTAATATTGTATGCACTTCATAATATAATCCAAAAAGTATATTGAGCTGCACCTTCAAGGTGCACCTAATTAAAATGGACACCAGATGTTTTTTTAACATAAACTTGAACGGATAGTTTATAAACAATTTTTTAAAGCATTAAGTAAAGTATAATTTTAATTAATTGTAACCTTTAACACTATGAATTTAATTTAGATCTGAATATCTGGACCCCCTACATCAAACAATGATAAAATATACATTGAATGAACAGGAAACCATCGTACCATGTAAATGTTTACAACCTTCTAGCTTAACACTATACTCATCATGTCCAAATCATATGTCATCAGCAACATCTTATACCCCAACCAAGCGCTATTGTACTGATCATCTTCAAACAATTCACTGTACAGAACAACAACATCAGTGTAACTCTAATTTAATGAACTATTCAATACCACCAGGATCAAATCCAGAAACAATATTTGTAGTCAAAAAGTAAATAGATATCTTCAAGGACGAGGTGAAGGCCAGACTTATATTTTCAATGCTCAAAAAAGATAACTTCAGATTTAATTATTTTTTATGTTTTTTTTCCAATATTTCCTTTCAGTATAATTTTGGTTACTATATTTCTCATCCAAATGTATCTTTGTCGATTATTGGACGATATTTAGAATTGTAAAAAAGTATCAATTACTGTTTTTGTAATAGAAAAAGTCTAAGTTTTTGAATTTTTTTTTATTTGCTAAAATTACGACGTCGGTACCTAAAACTTAAACTGTTTGAGACTTCTGTGATTGGCACACGTACATAAAAATTTTGACTGAATGTGTACAGCATAGATATAAGTCCAAATTCATTCATCTTATGTGTAGATCAAGTTTTATACTGTTGTGTTTACAGTCTAATGTTAGTCATCTGGAGGAAATTTATTTGATTAATGTTTCGTTACAAATTTCAGGGAAAATTTCAATTAGGTTTTTCTTGATGACAGATAAACCCGTTCCTCCAATTTACTCAAAAAAAGTGAATCTATAAGCTACCACTATACGGAGAATGCTAGAAACCTGCCGGTTGATAAATGTATGGATAAATTTTATCTACTAAACGTGTTTTATGGACAAAGATAAAAAAAGAATACCGTATAATCTAATTACGTCATAGTGAAAATGCAATGATTTATGAAGTGTAAATCTGTGAATATTATTTACCAACAAGTCAGATAAGCTGGTGAATCTTTTATGGAAAATAAATTTTAAACTAGATAGCAACAAATGTATTCTTTACACATTAATTTCAAATTGAATAATAAAAGTAACTTCATCTTCAGGCTCTACAGTTATAAGTCCATAATTATAATATTTTACAAAGGCCAAAATAAGGCATGTATTAATGGATTTGACAATGTTATGTGTTAAAAATGGTGCACGTTTGCATCTGTTAGAATATATATATAACGGATCATTGTCTAACAATCAGTTGAGTAGAAGTCGTCAATATACATCAACTTTATTGATTATGAAAAGGCATTTGACAGTGTCGATAGGAGAACATTACGGAAACGTCTTCGACACTACGGAGTTCCTGAGAAGATTGTCAATATTATCCGGAACTCATACGACGGACTACAGTGCAAAGTAGTGCATGGAGGACAGCTGACAGATGCATTCCAAGTAAGGACCGGAGTCAGACAAGGCTGTTTGCTCTCCGCCTTCCTCTTTCTTCTGATGGTCGACTTTATTATGAAGACCTCGACATCTGAGGGAAAACACGGCATACAATGGACGGCTTAGAACCAATTGGACGATTTGGACTCTGCAGATGACCTAGCCCTCCTATCACATACACACGAACAAATGCAGATAAAGACAGCCAGAGTAGCAGCAGTTTCTGCATCAGTAGGCCTCAACATACACAAGGGGAAAACCAAGGTCCTCAAACACAACACGGAGAACAGCTATGCAATCACACTTGATGGCGAAACTCTGGAAGATGTAGAGTCCTTCACATACCTGGGAAGCATCATCGATGAACAAGGAGGACCAGATGCAGACGTAAAGAAAAGGAATGACAACGCAAGGGCCACATTCCTGCAATTGACACACATGGAATTCAAAATAACTGTCAACCAATAACAGAGTGAGAATCTTCAATACGAACGTCAAGGCAGTTCTACTGTACGGAGCTGAAACTTGGAGAACTACTAAAACCATCATCAATAAGGTACAAGTATTTATCAATAGCTGTCTACGCAAGATACTCAACATCCATTAGCCGGATACCACCAGCAACAGTCTTTTGTGGGAGAGAACAAACCAGCTTCCAGCTGAAGAGGAAATTAGGAAAAGACGATGGAAGTGGATAGGACATACATTGAGGAAATCATCAAACTGCATTACGAGGCAAGCGCTAACTTGGAATCGTGAAGGAAAGCAGAAAAGAGGAAGGCCAAAGAACACATTAGTAAAATCGAAAACCGTTGATGTTAACCTTGATTAAACTGGTAAAATCTAACTATAAACATCTATTCAATCGAAACGATGAAATTATTTATAATGTTTCCTTTTGGTAGGTAGATAAGTTAGAAAGAAATAAGAGTAAACATTGAATGATTTCGTCATGTATTTTCTAAAAATAATTTTGTGTATTTATTTAGTTTATATTTAAAATATTTTAGATGTTCTTAATCGTAGTGACTAGTAAGCTTTTCTTTCAATAGATAGTGAATTTACATAAATCAGAAAGACAGAAAACAACAGTGAAAAAATGACTACATATCATTCATTTATAATTGACATTAGACAGCTTATAAACTTGACTGGAAATTTATGTATGGAAATTAGAATGTAAGAAATCTTGAAAATAAAATGTATCGTTGCATTAGGATATCTATATAAAATACTGATTTAAAAGATAAACGTTCCTGTTGAAAAGAGAAATATGTTAGATGATAGATGGCAACCTATAGGATAAGATTCAACTTGGAGACGAGATAACTAGGTTTATTATTCAGTCATCATTTAGTATTATTGTTCCAGTGTATAAATAACTGACCTTAACTTAAAAGAACTTAGTGATTACGTTTTTTCCTGTGACATTAAGTGAAGCGTGCTACGATCGATGTCTAGTGTTAGTTTTTTCACTCCCGCATGTATTCACATATATATACATGTATTTGACCGATACCAGTAGAATCTAGTAATATATCACGCCTTCATGGGATATTCGAGTCATAATCCACGCGAATTTTGACCTTATCTGTTATCTTCTTATGACCCTGTCTATTTTTTACATGAGCATATGCGTTTATCAGTTACTCTATTCATCACATGTTTTCGGGTTATTTTTACTGTTTGACTGAAAATAGTGAGTCATGATTCATCGAATCAAGTTGGGACACTTGCCTACTGAGCTTTTCAACTTAAGATCTATCTGAGCAGACAAGCGCTTGAAATAAATCCATCCATTTTAATTCGTGTTTGGGTTTTCGTTAATGCCGTCACTTAATGCCTAAACAGAGTTAGCCCAAGTAGAATACGCGAAATCAAACGAAGAATTTGTATTTACGGTCTATTCATCATTCGCTCATAATGGAGTAAGATTGTGGGACTACATGACAACGAGTACGAAACCTAGGTTCTTTAAGCTTTCTGTAGAATCCACTCAACTGTTACTATTAAAATGTTTATTGCGTACAGTCTACGATTTCTATGAGAATATGGATTAATGGTATTTATAACAAAATACACTCAACTTCTTAATGTTGAACAATTAATAAACACTGTTATTTATTGCACTTTTTGAATGATTGAAAGAGTATCCGTAAACAGAATGAAGTATCCTAGTGTAGACTTCATTGGTACATCAGATTTCATGATCCATCTCAAAACTATAAACAAACGGGAATTCTAATATTTGTTAATTACAGAATTATCTTACAAACGTTTGATAATAAAGTGTAAATCATTTCGCCTGAGATTATCTTCACTACCCTTATTCATGAACTCCGCCTGGAGCCCCTTTCCGGGGGCTACTGCCGGTCCCAAGCCCGGATAAAGGAGGAGGGTTGGGCATGGGGTTAGTGACCCCATCCCGTAGAAAACAGCTCGCTAAAAAAACGCTAACCAGAAAAAATTATTAAAACCATTTAAACTGTGTCCTGGGAGTCAGAAGGTCTTCATTTAGAAGAGTTATGATGCCTCGTGATGAAAGCCGAGTTCCTTCGGAAGTCACGAGGCCGATACCTTTTCTGAAAACCAGAGTAATCATTTATTTAGGTACACGGAATGCTCGTACAATATGGGAGACTGGTACAGTCTTACAAATTGCTGCAGAAATGAGGAGATACAACCTAGAGGTGCTTGGGATCAGTGAAACACATTGGACGCAAGTTGGACAACAACGACTAGCTTCAGGGAAGCTGCTGTTATACTCCAGATATGAATAAGAAAATGCCCCACATGCACAAGGAGTAGCATTGATGCTGTCCAAACAAGCACAAAATGCACTTATAGGATGGGAATCTCATGGACCAAGGATCATCAAAGCCTCCTTCAAAACAAAGAAAACGGGGATTACAATGAACGTCATCCAATGCTACGCGCCTACCAACGACTACAATGAAGACGCTAAAGATCAATTCTACGATAGGCTGCAGTCAATCGTCGAGAAGTGCCCAACAAAGGACCTGACCATTCTGATGGGAGATTTAAATATCAAGGTTGGGATGGACAACACCGGATATGAAGACATCATGGGACGGCATGAACTGGGAAAAAGGAACGAAAATGGTGAGAGATTTGCAAACCTATGTGCTTTCAATAAACTGGTCATAGGCGGAACTATATTCCCACATAAACGCATACACAAAACCACATGGACTTCACCGGATCACACCACACAGAACCAAATCGACCATATCTGCATCAACAAAAAGTTTAGGAGGACGATGAAGAGGGAGGTGTAGCTGGTATAGCGTCAGATCGCCACTTGCTGGTCACCAAGATGAAATTGAAACTCAAGAGGCACTGGACAACGAGGTGGACAATATCACAAGAGTTTAATACGGCTCTTCTTCGGGATACTGACAAACTTAACAAATTCAAGATAACCCTCAGCAATAAGTTCCAATCCTTCCATGATCTACTCAATGGAGAAGGAACTACCATAGAGAGCATCTGGAAAGAGATAAAAGAGGCAATCACTTCAACATGTCATGAGGTTCTGGGCCAAAAGAAGCACCATCACAAAGACTGGATCACGGTCGATACACTGGATAAGATTCAAGAAAGGAGGACCAAGAAGGCAGCAATCAATACCAGCCGAACAAGAGTAGAAAACGCCAAGGCACAAGCTGAATACACAGTAGTAAACAAGCAAGTGAAGAGAAGCATTAGAACTGACAAACGTAAATATGTGAGATTTTTAGCAATGACGGCGGAAAAGGCTGCAAGAAGAGGAAATATGAGACAAATGTATGACACAACAAAGAAACTCTCTGGAAATCACCGTAATCCAGAACCACCAGTGAAAAACAAGGAAGGCAAGATAATCACCAACATTGAAGAACAACGAAACAGGTGGGTAGAACACTTCAAAGAACTCTTGAATCGACCAGCCCCATTGAACCCACCCAACATAGAAGTAGCACTCACGGACATCCCAATCGATGTTGGCCCATCAACAAATGAAGAAATCAGCATGGCCGTCAGACAAATCGAGAGTGGTAAAGCAGCAGGACCAGACAACATTCCAGCAGAGGCACTGAAAGCAGATGTGGCGATAACTGCAAGGATACTCCAAATTCT